ATATATATATATATATATATATTAGTTGTAGATGGACACAATATCTTCAATATCTTTATCTTATTTATTTATTTTTATGTGATGCTGAGGATCAAACCCAGTGCCTCAAGTGTGGGAGGCAAGTACTCTACTACTGAGCCACAACCCCAGCCCCTGAATTATGAGTTTCTGTAGTTGCACATCTTTGCCAATATTTATAATTAATAATTAATTTTAACCTGTAATTCACTGATGACATTGAGTATTGCATGCATATGTGTGTGTGTGTGTGTGTGTGTGTGTGTGTGTGTTTTGCTGAGGATCAAATCCAGGGCCTCCTGCATGCTAGGCAAGTTCTCCATCACTGAGCTACATCTCCAGCCCTTTTTCTTTTCTTTTTTTTTAATATTTATTTATTTATTTTTTTAGTTTTTCAGCGGACACAACATCTTTGTTTGTATGTGGTGCTGAGGATCAAACCCTGGCCGCACGCATGCCAGGTGAGCGCGCTACCACCTAAGCCACATCCCAGCCCCCCTTTTTCAATTTTTATTTTGAGATAGAGTCTCATTAAGTTGCCCAGCCTGGTCTCAAACATGCAAACCTCCTGCCTCAGGCTCCCAAGTAGCTGAAATTACAGGTATGTATACCATGCTTGGGCAAACATCTTTTGATATCTAGATACTTCTTGACTTATGATGGGGTTATATCCTGATAAACCTAGTGTAAGCTGAAAATATCATTAAGTTAAAAATGCATTTAATACACCTAGTCTACACCATAGTGTGGTTTCAACAAAAGGGCTGGGGATGTTGCTCAGTGGTAGAGTGCGCCTGGGTTCCATCTTCAGTACTGGGAAAGAAAAAAAGAAAAGTAAAAGCAAAAAAGTGAAAACCACAAGTGGAACCATTGTAAGTCCAGGATTATCTGTTCTTATTTGCCATCTGCATGTCTTTGATGAGGTATCTTTTGCCTATTTATTTTTAATTTGGTACAAGGGATTGAATCACATAGGAGAGTTTAAACACTGAGCCACATTCCAAGGCCCTTTATAAAATATATTTTATCTAGAGACAAGGTCTTGCTAAATTGCTTAGGGCTTGCTTAGTGCTGAGACTGGCCTCAATTTGTGATCCTCCTGCCTCAGCCTCTTGAGTTGCTGGGATTATAGGCATGCACCACCACGCCCAGTCTCTTTTGCCTATTTTAAACAAACTGTTTTCTTACTGTTGAGGTTTTTGTTTTGTCTTGTGGAGCTGGGGATTGAACCTAGGGCCTTCTGTGTGCAAGGCAGGCACTCTACCAACTGAGCTGAATCCCCAGTCCTTACTATTGAGTTTTAAGAATTCTTTTGGATAACATAGTCCTTTTCAGATATGTCTTTAGTGAATATTTTCTCCCAGTTTGTGGTTTGTCTTCTCACTTTTTTCACAGTTTCTTTCATAGAGAAGTTTTTTTTTAATCTTTTTTTTTTTTTTTGGTATTTTTTAGTTGTCAATGGACCTTTATTTTATTTATTTAAATGTGGTGCTGAGAATCGAATCCAGTGCCTCACATGTGCTAGGCAAGTACTCTCCCACTGAGCCACCACCCAAGCACCCCCCCACACCTGTTTTTTTTTTTTTAACTTAATGTAGTTCAGTTCAGCTTATGAAACATTTTTTTTCATGAATTATGCCTCTGGTGTTGAATATAAAAAGCCATCACAAAAAAACCAAGATAACCTAGATTTTCTCCTATGTGGTTATTCTCTTGGAGTTTTATGATCTACATTTAGTCTGTGCTTCATTTTGAGTTAATTTTTGTGAAGTGTGAGCTTTGTGTCTAGATTCTTCTCTTTTCTTTTTCTTTCTTTCTTTCTTTCTTTTTTTTTTTTTTTGCATATGAATGTCCAACTATTCCAGCACAATTTATTGAAGGGACTACTTTTTCTCTGATGTATCACCTATGCTCCTTTGTCAAATATTTGTTGACTATTTTTAAGTGGGCCTACTTCTGATCACTCTATTCAGTCCCATTGTTATATTCGTTTATTCTTTCACCAATACCACACTCTCTTGATTATTGTTGCTTTATAATAATTTTTAAAGTTGAGTAATGTTAGTCCCCTAATTTTGTTCATCTTTATTATTATTATTTTTTTTTTTAAAGAGAGAGAATTAATT